TGGTATCGATATTGAGGATGATGCGGGAAGTAAAGGATTAGATGAAATGCAATTTTCCATCCAACATCCGACATTAGCCAGGATTCCCGACAATAAAATTCCTAGTTCAAAGAAGAGGTCAAAATCAAATGATGCGTTTGTTGGTAGTACGGACACCTTGAACAAGAACATGGGTCCGTTTGGTTAGAAATTTTTTCCCTTGAAAGCCTGCCAAAGTGTCACTTTTTGGCAGGCTTTCAAGCAAAATCGTCTTTAAAAAAGGAGATTTTGCTTGAAAGCCTACCAAAAAGTGACACTTTTGGTACTTTTGACGGACTTTCAAGAGAGTCTTTCCCTTAAAAACAGGGAACCAAACAGCCCCTAATAAATAACACTCAGTCCGCAGCTAGGAGCGGTTGGCTCAAAAGATTGGGTATGATCAAGACTTGTCTGAGCTGCGTCGGGAAGTTTTTAGCATCATCATAAAGTTCTCAAGCTTCACGCATAAACAGAAGGTCAATGCTGCAAATCTCATTTTCAGCATGCCTGCCCATATAGACCTCTTCCTTAGCTTTCTAGATGAAGACAAGGAGGGAAAATGTGAGGTTGATTTTTTAGGAGAAATTTGAATCTCCTACTCATTCGTTTAATGTTTGGATATTTTTTACAGACCGGTATACGTTTTAGTACTATTCTTTATGTTTTTTACTGAGCGGATGATGTTTTCCATATTGAAGTATTGTTTGATACTTACTTGGAGAATTTCGTATTTAACTACGTATTATAGTTTTTACTTTATCATGAGTTTCCTATCGTATTTAACTACGTATTATAGTTTTTTGCATGTCTCTTTGATATATGTTTTTATATGATTTACCAAAAAAAAAAAAAAAAGCCGATTCGGGAATGTTTGCATCAGTTTGGCGACTATATATCATGTGCTCATATGATGAATGTACTAAAAGATGAAATGGCCCAATAGCTTAATTAGGTCGTCAAATCTAAATTGTTTATCGACAACTGAGTGAACTTTTGTGTGCTTGCAAGATTCAATTCTTCTTCTTTCTCTCACCACTTTGCTAACTGCTATTATAAACCATGGGTTGATATGATTTCTTTCACCTTGAACTATGTTCAATCTATAATATATTCAACCCAAAAAACAAACATTAATATGGGTTATTTTAAGTTAGCTCGAATATTTGTCTGTACGAAAACAAGCATTGGATTAGACTAAAAGTTCCTAGATAATACAGTCTAAGTACTATAATTCTGATAATATAATACCATCTAATCTAGGGATAAAAAAACAAATGTGGCCTAAGAAAGGAAAAAAACTGCAATTAAGGGAAGGGGGAGTATGTTGTTTTTAGATGACTAAATCTGGCTTTTTTTCCCTTTCCCCTCAAAAATATTTTAGTGATTTATCAATTACAAGAGCGGGTTTCGTTGAAACACATTTAAACTTCAAGGGTCACCCAAAAGTTCATGCGGGCTTTGTCACTTTTGTGAGATAAAAAAAGTTCAGGGGATGACGTGCCAAATCCTCCAAAAGTCAGGAGGAGTTTTGTGCAATAAACACTGTACCTTTTACTCTCTTTTACTCAGAACAATCAAAACTTGTATTTGATGTATTAAAGTTCAAGGGATTATGTGCCAAATCCTCCAAAAGTCAGGAGTTCTGTGAGATCAACACTGTACTTTTTTCCTTGTATTTAACGCATGCATTTAGTGGTTCACAGATTTGCATATGTTTTCAAGAAGTTCCACAGAGAGAGAGAGAGAGAGAGAGAGAGAGAGTTCAGCATAACAAGAATTTCTATTGATGACCTAGAATTCGATATCAAGTGCGTTAAACTTCTCTGCGATATTCTATCCGCAACGCTATGAGAAAAACAAAACCTACTTGTCAGCCGTAAAACTCAACTTTTGTTTACAGCCATTCTCTCAAATCCTTAATTCTCTTGTGATTTATATCTATCTTATTACCCCTTCTTTTATTTCTTTATTTAAAAAAAAACTAAAATTTTGAGAGGTTCAGCAAACAGTAAGACAAAAACTAAGACAAAAACTGAAAATATGCACACACAACAAATCCAATAACTAATCTAGCAACAACAAGTTCGATGGGAAATGCCAAGAGCCTATCCCATTATGATACACAAACAGGCATAAGAAAAATTCCTCGCTTGTCCCTCTTATTGGTCCCATATTTTGGGTCCCTGTAACAAAGCTCCAGGCATAATAAGATAGCATTTCAGGCATTCACATTTGAGAGATTACAGCAAAGAGATCACAACCATCACTGCAAATAATAATAAGGGTTAGTGGCAAATAGACCTTTTTACTATCGGACGCCTGTAGTTCTATTGTTACAGATAGACCAACCTCAGTGAGAAGTTTTTGACGCTACTTGGGAGGTCTATTTGCCAAAAAAAATACTTTTCTCTGAGGGTTAAAAAGTAAAAAGTTTCACTCGAGGGTTAATCTGCGACATTTGAACTACAGAGAATGTACACACACTTCGCCATGGTAAGGGGTCTATGGGCAATTAACCCTATTGATGATAACTACCGTCCCAGTTCAACTATTCAATGATATCCATTACCATCTTCAGAATGTTACTTGGATCACATATGACATCAAAATAAACATTTGGTCACCAGCCGGAAGAAGCAACTATCAATTCTGAAGGAAATTATCATAGAGGTAAACAAAGAGAGATCATAGAGAAAACATCTTATTTTTGAAATTAAAGAACAACCAACCTGCAATATGTAATACCTGTGTAAAATGCATGCGAGAAAAGATCATGAAATTCGGGAATATTGTACATAAACTCAAAACAAACAAAAGCTAGCACCTCCTCGAGCAATTCAAAAACTTAAGCACAGCAAGATCTAATATAGTTGGTGGATGACCTTGCTTGGTTAGTAAATCAAGGAACATAAATCAATTAATATTGCTATGCACAATATAACTATGCAGCACAATCCCCAAAAGAATTCAATCAAGCCCACATTCATATGACCATTGGTTCAGTCTTCAAGTTCTTTTATAGAATTTTCATTAAAAAACTGAGAATTTACACATCAAAAATGAGGAAAAGGTGAGTCATTATACAAATAATAGCCCTGTCCCTATATTTCAGTACCTCACCTCGTGGTAAAATAATGACACGTTGCGACTGCTCAACAATCTCAAAATATGTAAAGACGCCTCAACTTTAAAAATAACTTCCAAATGAACAATCACTGGTCATGCTAAAGCAATTCTCTCCTTGTGACTGCTCAACAATCTCAAATATGTAAAATAACCAATTCACTCCCAACGTCAAAAACAACATATGCATGAAAAATCACTTGTTCATTCCACAACCCATTCTCTCCTGGTGAGTGCTCCTAGTTATATGTAAATGCTTACGATTATGTGAAAATTTGATCAGATTCTAGTCCATTTAAAAAAAACAAGGGATTAGGTTTGCAAACCCAAGACACATAATGAATCTCAAGACGTGCAGCAGTGCATGTAAAGCTCTGTACTTCAGGAATTCATGCATTCGGACACATTATTGGCCCAAAAATAAATTCTAAGCAAGTCTACCTTATGAAGGGAATAAAAAACTACGTGCATGTATTTACCCCCCCCCCCCCCCCCCCCCCCCCCCCCCCAACAAAAAAACCCACCCCAAAATTATTTTGCGTGCACACCCTTCAAAAATTTCAAGTATGCACTTTGAAATATTATATACTACAAAGGCTTACAAGAATTCTATTATATATTGAACTTGATAGTTAGTCAAAAGCGTTTGGCAAATAGAAGATGGAAGAGAACGTAGCAAAAATATGAAAAATTCTGTCACATTCTTACAGTTCCATTGTTTTTCTACATATGGAATCTTGGGAAAAGAAAAAATAGGAAACTAAATTTATAGATTTTAT